TTTTTAAGAGGAGGTTAGATGAACACCTTGCTGGGGTCGTTTGACCCCAGTACTGTTTCCTGCCATGGCAGGGGGTCGGAGTAGATGATCTGCTCAGGTCCCTTCCAACCCTAGAAACTATGAAACTATCAAGATCACACCTCACTCTGTGCATTGCAAACATCCATCTGAGACTACCACTGCTCCATTGCAAAGGGGCACATCTTGAATCTCAACAACTGCAGGGCAGACACTGTAGATCCAAACTGCCCCAGCCTGAAGTCTATGAGGCGGTACCTCACTCAACAAACATGGAGAGGAGAGGGCAGAAAAACAAAATCACATAAAAGGTAAGAAACAGAAACTAAAGGAAAGTTGTCAAAAGAAAAAAACAGTACAACCACTGAGAAGAACAAATGCTGTCTGCAAGCAGTGGCCAGTAACTACTGCATCTCAGGTGGGCGGCTGAGAGGAACTAAAGCGCATGAAGCGTACGCTGCTCTTTATACCATCACCACCAGGCTAGAGCAAACCCTATGGCACTGCCATGGCCAGAAGAGTCTCTGGTCAAAAGCTCTGGAAAGAAGATCTAAGAGTAGTAGCCTGTACAGCCAGTTTGGCTTGCAACCCGGTAAGCACAGCTTGACTCTAATGGTGAATGCCTGATACAGTATTTAAGAGGTAAGTGAAAAAATGAAAATACGCTAGGAAATATGATCAAGCAGTTATTTTACTTAAATCAAGACAGTTCCACCATTATAATCAGTATCTGGAGACCAGCATTTACACTGAATCCAACAGCCTAGGAACAGCGTTCGATAGGCTACTGGATATAAACAGGTACAGAACATGTCAGAAGGCAGCACGAATACCTGCTGGTGTGAGCACCAAAGCCTGAAGAATGTCCGAGAGGGAGATGATGCCCACAATGCTATCTGCTTCGTTCACTACCACCAGACGGTGAACCTACAAGCAGGGAACAGCACATTATGAAACAGTAATTGTCCCAATTAACAAATGGAGGCAACACAGAAATCAGAATCCTAATGCAGTGGGCTGTAAAGTGAGCAAGTTTCCACAATTAGGAAAGGAAAGAAATTGCTCAAAGTCGACATGTTCTTAACTGACATTATCAATGCCCTTTACCTTCCAGGCAGCTGAAAACAAGTTTATCTTAAAGCAGCCCCAGTTGTAATGTTCGTCTGACATGACAACAATCAGAATATCCGAAGGAAAGCTTGGGTGATACCAGCCCAGAAATAATATTATTTTAACAACATCTAAATATTTGAGAGACTTTGCATGCTGCTACACTGAAAGAAACTAAATCAAATGTTACTGTAGGTTATGTATTTACTGGATTAACAACTTCTTATCAAATGTATTCAGAACTAAGAGTGTACAAACAAGATCTGGGCCTAAGAGACGAAAAAGCAGCAGCACATGCTTTTCATCAGCATACATCTGCCGCCTCAACCTAGGACTTCAAATCAAGTTGCATTTGGATGTGTGTGCTGTCCCCAGGAAAAGACTTTCAGTCTCAATGAGCTGTGATTTGTGCTCAGCCCCATACGTCCCTGATGAGGCTGTACGAGTGAGGCTGAAGCCATGTCTAGACCACAAATGACATGTTCCTGGCAGCAGCTCCCTCCCACACACTGCAGGGCTCCACATGTTTCTGCATCTGGACTGGAAGCAGTGGGGTCAAGTCCACATGACACCGTGGGTGGACTAATTAGTGGCAGAGTCGATGCCAATTCATCTGCCTACTGTGCTATGTGCAGTTGGCCAACTGCTTCTTCGTGGGGATAGTGCAGGCAAAGATACAACATGCGGGCACAGCACGTGCGCTGTGTACTCACATCCTGAGGCCCAAATCAGTTGTGCGGTGAGAACGTGGTTGGTTTTGAACACTGCCCTCTCTTCGCTGAGCTCTCTCTGCACTGAACATTTTCAATAAAGCTAGCAGGCAGCTCTAAACGTAGGCAGCCATTTAGGAATAGCTGTGCAAGTGCTCTTAGTCCTTTTTCAGAGGAGGATTTTAAGGCCTTCTAAACGCACATGAAGCAGTTTTGTGTGTGATTTAATTCTGGGGGAAATAGATTTCTTTCAAAGACATATCTGCCTGCAGTGTTTATACTAAACATTGCAATATTACATCAATCCAGGAGAATCAAAAAAAAGAATGAAACAGATCATCAGCAAAAGTGAAACCAACCAATCTATTCTTTCCCAAGCCGGGAGCGCTATCATTTGTTTACTTATTGCAATTATTAACTTTTCACTATGAAACAATTTAGCTTGAATAATTTAAAAGCAGCAGCCTGACATTGTAACTTTGTAAACCCATGGACATGACCAAGTCATACTCCAACATGAAATGTAGATATCTTAATTAACAACCAAATACTGTGAGGCTTTAAAATAATAAGGCAGGGCATATAACCATTTCCTTCATTTTATCATTGTTCACACCTATTTTCTAAGACATTTTTTCACATGATGGTAAATGATTACAACGGCAAACGATGACACTACTGCTTCCAGTTCTGTATTTGAAATGCAACCAGCATTCTTCACTCTTACAGGCTAGACTAGATGCAGCAGGCAAGTTGTAACACTTGAACTCCCCAGTTCTTCCTTGATATGATCAAGCACTCAATTGCATGAATTTAGTACCATATTTTTATAGCAAAAAGATTCTGCACACAAGATGTGGGACTTTCACTCTAATTCTGAGCCAGTGGCAGCTTATGACATTACTGGGGGAAAAGGGCTGTACATCTGGTATGTACAGCCTCTAGTTACTGTAGATACATAGAGAATCATTTAATGCCTCTAGTTACTGTAGATACATAGAGAATCATTTTGTATTTGTGCATAATATATCCATTTACTTGGGGCATTTTCATTCACTATGCAGAGTGCACAAGAATACATTCATTTGTTTTTCCTATTAGATGGTAAATGGGTGCATGGAGTTACATGAACTGAACTGTACTGTAGCTAAATGGCAAATCTTGAAAGGCAGGTTCCTCTTGCAAAGGTGGTTTCCCTTCTCACAGCTGCCACCTGGTGAAACAAAGGTTAATGAGGAAATGGTCAGGTAAGCTGGCCAAGATGGGCCACACCTCGTGAGACATGCTGCCTGATTCTATGAAAATTTGGGATTTCTACATCTACTTAAGTATGTAACTATGTAACTTGTTCTTCTTTTAATGGTTCCTTTTTCACCTGGCCCCTCCGTTCCATAAAGCTTCCAAAGAAAAGTGAATCTATCAGAGGACACAACCTGCTTCTTACAGAGTAAGGGAGACCAAGGATTTGCATATCACATTCAGTTTGACCATCCAGGAAGGAAGACTTCCTTCAAAACTGAAATGGATTTAAGACCTCTAAGTCAGCCCTCATATGGGTAATTCAGGACTCAGTAACGCGCAGATCTCAAGTTTTTGGACTGAGGCTACAGTGAACACAGAGGACGTGAGATGATATATTGCCACATGATGCAGTTAATGGAGCCCCCCAAGGAGTGATAATTAATTTAAGCAACTTCTAAAAATCATCAATAAGAGGAAAGTTAGAAGGCTGAAAATGCAAAATCACGTAAACTGCAGAAGGTGAAATTCTAGATTGATTCGGCTAGTGACTGGACCAGGTCATTCTGATTTTCTCCTGCAAGCTCGCGATAGGTGGACATTTTTTGCATTTCCCTTTTACTCACTGGAGCTACTGATACTGGAGCAGATAGATAAGAGCACCCAAACACTGGAAAATGTAGCATCAGATGAAACTGGATGAAAGACTTGACAAAGTCTGCTTCCTCACAAGATTGCACCTTCTGGCATTTGCTAGTGTTGATGTAAAGGAGTGTGCAATCCCATACCCCAGGGGTGTCAGACTTAGGCCTGGAGACCCACTGAATCCATGGGCTAGGAAATCCGGGCGCAAGACTAGCAGGGAGCAAGTGAGAGCTTTGTGACACAGCCCCTGCTTGCCCTGAAGCCACCTGGCCTGCCACACTTGCAGAGCCCCTGCCATGGCAAGTAGCTACCTGGTCTGGAGCCACTTGCCCCCTTACTGCTGCACAGCCCCACACCAAATCTGACCTGCAAGGGGCCCCGCGGTCCAAATCCAGCCCAGGCACAAAGCAAGTCTGACACCCCTGCCTTACCCTGGAACTGATTCTGTATGAATCCTGCTTGGAAAATAAACCCAAACCAACCTCACTGCAGCT